AACACTGGCACTCCGAGAGGAGGGGCCGCTTTGTTAACATCAGCCTCCAAAACATGCAAAAATTGCAAGAAAATCATCATTGGTGCCCTTGATCCCTTCTATAGAGTCCCCAAAAATGTCTGTAGCACTTGCTGGGCAACATCCCTCACAGGTGCTGCCGTCTGGCCTGGTGCTTTACCAACAACTCTACGTCCTCCGAACTGCGGCAGTAGGCAAGGACAGGTATACCTGCAAAGCACATCCACGCCACGCCAAACATGATTTCACAACCTCTTGGACTCTTGAACCTGAAACTTTTGCCACATTCAACAAGGCCGCCTCGGGGAAAAAAACATTGACTTTACTTGAAAGGCTGGGCCAGTCTGCTTCAATGCTTCTTACCCAGAGAATGTGCAACACTCATGATTTGCTTCTGGTGTCCTAGAAGTGAAACGTTGCGGGGAAAAAATAAATTGCCTTTATGTTAAAGCTCCTGCCTTTTGATACGAGGTTCACGTCAGCCTTGGCCTCCAACACCACCTCCAAGACGCCGGGGCAGCGCCAGCCGTGCATGAGCAGTACGTGAAGAGCTGTCAAACCCTCAGCAATGCCCACCTCACCGGAAAACAACACTGATCTTTTGGCAAACCCCCAGAAATGATTTGGTGACTGGACGCAAAAATAATGACCTTAAGCAAGGCCGGGCGGACATACATAGTTCCAAATAGAATGGTGTTATTTCATGGTATTTCTGCTTTCCACCATGCAACCCGTGTGTAGCCCAGCACACACGTCCGCAGAAGTGTAATAATTACCCTCGTATGTAACAAGCGGCTGTGGTCCGTTTGTGAATGTATTGGATTCTCCGAAAAAAGGCCGACAATCAAAACAATAATTCCCACCTGCATCATTGACTTCAATGGAGTATGAAGGTTCAAGCCCTCCTGCTGCAGCAGTGTCTTCACCAGCTGCAAATCCCCGGACAAGCAGGCGCACAGTAGAGGGCTCATCGTCGTGGTCTTCGCGTCGACGTCGAAATGGAAGTCCTCCAGAAATTCGCCCAAGGCGCGTTTTTCCAAAGCCTGCCCGATGAGACTCTCTCGTCGGGCCAGGAAATAGCGGTACAAGTCCCAATTGCCTTCCATCTGGAGCCTGAAACGATCAAACTTGGCGAAGCCATGCAGAAATGCCCACCTACTAGATCCTGAAATCACACCTGTCAGCTGCATCTAACTCTTGGTTTGAGGCTTCTGTGTCTATATATACTTTTTAAGTATGTATAATTATATAACTGCCCGCGGATTCTTATCATGTCTCATCATCTTTCTCAGTAGTTCCTGCAAAGCATCCTGAACCGTGAACCTCCCCCACTCGTTCAAGCACCGCCATTCTTCGCCCGAAGAATACGTGCAAAACAAGGGGCCAAAGGAGCTTGTAGGCCAAGGCTTGCTCGAAAATGCTGGTCACGAGTGAAAGGTCTCCATCGTAAGAGAAGTCCCCTTCATGTGGCAAGCAATCCACCCAGTTCACCGGTCGCGCGAAGTCCGCTTTGTCACCGCCGGAGATCACCTGTTGGTTGAGGCGCTCGTGTTTTTCATTCCTTTTCTTTTTTCAGCCGTGCGATGTGGCGGTCAAAACGGCCCCAAGATCAGGACCAAAACAATCCAAAAGACCCAAAGGGGATCAAAGGAGCAAAACAGATTAAGACCAGCTGAGATGACAAGGATTGGCATATCCTGCAGGTGTTCGGAATGGCCCATGAAGCTCTGTTAGTTGAAAGCGGCAATTGAGCTTTGAAAGGCAGGAGATATCAATTTACCAAGTGATATCACACAACCAGTTCAATGGGTCTACCATGGTCTACCGTTCAATGCACTAGCTTCTGAATGCTTTGTTTCCATGCTCCTCACAGCATGTGCCCTGTCCTGATTCCCCAGCATCATCTTGCACCAAAGCTCAGTTCGGCACCAGCCTCTCGTGAACCAACTGCTGTAGTTGCCTTGGCTTGGCTACCCAAGGGAAAAACAAATGCAAATCAATGCAATTATATGCAATTCATAATCTATACGAAAAGCTTTCAACAGCTTTCCTGGATCCGGTTGCCGGAATTGTTCCAAAAGTAGCTTTGAGGGCTTTCGGTCGGAGAAAGGAACCACATATCATATCACACCGGAATTTAGTCAGCAGTTCTCAGCTTGCAAAGGTTGCCTGCTTACAAAAACCCAAAACAATGTTTAATTCTGCGCTCCTGATCATCTGAATGCGAAGTCCCTTCGACGAAAGAAGACACCGTCCGAACTCGTCCGGGATGCAGAGCTGATCAGTGTCCCAATGAGGGACTGGAGGGACTAAAGCCACAAAGACTTGGCAGGCCTGGACGAAGGAAGGAATCGATAGGATGTACTTCTCTTGTTCCTTGGGACTTGCGTCTCCAGAACAAAAGCAACAACATCAACCACTTGGAACGTGAAGGGGCCCCAACCTTTTCTCAAACTCCTCGACCCGAGTTTTCGTGCTGGGTTCTCCAATGCGGCAAGCACCCACAGCTTTTGCAAACTCCACCATTCGTTGACTCGCTAGCACATTCACCAAGTCCAGGCGAGCTGGTACTGAGACAAGGGTCTGTCATCGTGGTTGTTGAAGTTGTCCGGAAGCGAAAGCTTCGCAGGGAGGTCCGAAAGCTAATGCTGTGCATGGGCGAGTCAGTTCTCGTGCTCCCATGGCTGGTCGAACGCTCGCGGATCTGAGGAATACTTATCCAATCCAGCCATATGTAGGCCTCCTGCAAGCGCGCCTGCTGCTGAGGCGATAACCTCCTTGGCAAACGAAGCACTTTGGTACCAGTAGCTCATTCAGGTCAAGCCAAGCTAGTAGTAAAAGGATGGAAAAGGATTGGGTGTGGCAATGTGTAGGTCATTTCTGATCTCTTTCTGTGTGCGTTCGGCCTAGCGCAGCAGCTCTTTGACCCTCGAAAACGAACCCCCGGGTGGCACTCAGCGCAAAAATTGCCAAGTCTTGGACAATCTTAGGCTCTTGATGTCTCCAAAGAGCTGGGAGGCTGCATCGTTCATGACCTCGATGCTTCCATCACAAATCTTCGTCAAACATTCCTGTAGCACTGCTAGTTGTTTGCCCTCAGGGTCTGGATGCTCTGATGAGACCCACCTTGGAGACGAAACAGCGTACCGGAGACACCTCCCCAACGGGAGGAACCGTTTTTTTTGAATTCGATGTTCCTCCGATAAACTTGCATCAAAGGAATATCAACATGAAACCGCATGAAACCCAAACGAAAAACATTGCAACTTTTCTCGGCCACTGGTGGGAGATGAAAATGCAGTAGAAGGAGCGCTTCCGGCGGTGCAAAAGCCCTGCAAAGCTGAGTCGGGGTCACATTTGGAAAGCGTGTTGAAGTCTGACCGCGTTTCCTGAAAGAATTCTCACTATATTTGAAAGTAACCCACCAGCACGCCGTTGATTTCTGTACCTCTTGTCTTGTGACAACTATTGACACCTTCAACTTAATTTGTGCCTTGAAAGTGCACACGCCACAGCACGCAATGCTACAACCAGCGGTCCCGGAATCGTCAGAAGACACCCACCCAGGGCTTCCTTGAGTTCGACACGTTAGTTAGGCGTCCCCAACCGTTTTACCAAACGAATCCCTACTTTCACACGCCACGCCTTGCTTTCGCACATGCTCATGACTGGGCAGGGGAAGCTCCATCTTCACAAAGTCCTGACCAATCGGTCCAAAGAAAGTATTACCAGCTTTCACCACCTAGACCTAACATAGACGGCACACATAGGCCCTCAAAACATGGAACGGGAGCCACCCACTATATTATTTTTTGAAGTGGGAAAACCAAATGAAACATAATGAAACACGATTTGGGGCAACGAACCTTGTGGTGCTGATCTAAAATCATGAAATAGTTCCAACCACGCAATAAGTTTATCATACTTTATCACTACAAAGATTCGTGGAAGACCAGGGCCACCCGCCAAGCCATCTGAGCTAACACTAAGAATTTTATAGACTAGGTCTTGAAGAGGACCTGACAGAGCATGACATTGGTTCAAGCACCATTTCTTGCTCCACTTGTTATAATATATATATATAATATCCTTGCCTTGCATCAAGAAAACGGAACGGGTGTGAGCTCACACCAAGCAAGCTATTATAACATGTTGTCCCGCATTCTCCCCCTAAGTCAAGGCACATGTACAACCATGTGTATAATCTAGTATACCTGGACCTAGACCTAGTCAATCTGACAAAAATAACAGCCTTCTGACTGATCTGGTCCAAAGCTCTGTGGCCTTCATGACCCACATTGGTTGTACCAGCTCGATGTTGGGCTCCGGCCGACTGCTGAAACAACCCATGGTGACGCTCCCGATCGCAAGCAAGGCTGCTCTGACCTATTTCAACACATACTGGGCTGCTCATGAGTACCTTCAGCAACTAAAACTGATGGTGCATGATGTATACTTGAAATGTCTTCACATGTTTCTTGTCTCCCTCTCTCTCTCTCTCGCTCTCTCAGTCACTCGCTTTATTGAGGCAAGTGTCTAGTTGTTCAAACTGGGGTGTTCTTTCTTCCAATTTTGGGAGAGGGGTATCTCATCTCTTTCTGAGTATGGGCTGTCAAGCTATGGCAGCGTCTGGACACCCGCAAAGTCCGCAAAGGCTACAAAAAAAGAGGTATGGCCGCTCTAAGCGGGACTCGGCAGTTGATCCAAATTCGAGCCACAGGCCGCACAATCACCCGGCTTCTTTCAGCGTCAAGGAGTAAACCCCCAAGCTCTGCAAATATTATAGATAGCAGCACCAATACCACCCCACAAATGCTCCTCCAGCCAATCCACAGCTCTCTGCTCCTTTTTTCGCTCGCTGAGGGTGGAGAAAAAATTCCTCGTCAGCTGGCAGGATCCTGAGGCCTTGCTTGAGGCCCTCCTGACGGTCCTGACGTTGCAAAACATTGCCTTTCGACCTCCAAGTATGATGCTGAAATGACTTAGTCAAGCTCTGAAGTGACGGTGGCACTGATTACGCTGGACACTGCACTGAAGGCTGCCAGCATGCAAAGAATGCCTGAGCGAAATTTAAAGGCGTCTGCTGGGCAAAATCGTCCAAGATGTCATCAAGATTTCATCTCAACATAGTAAAGTGGGATTTCAATGGATGTCGTGAGAATTCGCTGCTCATAGTTCATCGATGTTCATCGCATATGTCCTTCCCGTGCGCATGAAGCCACCCTTACCTATAATCTTGCCTAAGGTAACCAAAGCAGGTCCCCCCAGTGCTTCCCTGCCAGGAAGTCCAAGGCACCAACTCCCAGCACCACTGAGGGCATGCCGCCATCCGCCGCCAAGGCCGCCGTGGGGGTCAGCAAGACCGGCACCGCTGCGGCTGTCGCCAGGTGTGCCGGGGATACCGTCGTCGCTGAACCCGCGCGGCTGGGTACGCCGAGGAAGGTGAGGCTCTGGAGTGCCAAGGACGCGAAGGTCAGGGCCACCGCCAAGGTGATGAGCTTGGAGGACCGGGCCATGGCAGGTCTGGCAGGTGTCAGCGAGGTGGCAGCCTTTTCCTCTGGAACCTAAAAAGATTAAAACAAGTTTTAAACATGAGCAACATGCACACATCTTTTAAACTTGTCTCTGGCGCTTAGGCACTCCAGAAATGCAACACGACATATTTGGATGGAACAAAAACAACTGCAAAAAGAACTTGGCATCAACGGATCAACGTTGCATGTCCAGTGATTGTTCGCACCCAGCCGCTCTTTTTGGCACTCAGGGTTCCACTACGATGGTGGCTCCTTGTGTTGCTTCTCTGACCTCAGCCAGCGCTTCAAAGCTCTCCTGTGCGCCTCTGCAAAATACATTTCCCAAGCACCCCAACCAATGGGCTCGACCCTACTTTCCTTTCATTGGTCTTTGAAGGTCTCCCCATTCTACAGACAATGTCCATTCTGCCAATGCAAGCATGCCTGTCGTATGTATATATTGGGTATATCCTATTCTCTGTAACAGTGGATGATGATGGCTAGCAAAGGACTAGAATAGTGAAAACTGTTTGCCGACTATTACAGGTACGGGGACACCCCCAACCTATATGCAAATTATACAGACGTGCTTGAAAAAATGTCACGGTGTCTGTTAATATTATTCCCCACATTCTGGTGTCCATATTTGTCCAGTTCTTCCACATCCAATCCAATAAGAACCTTCGGAAGACATTGGAAGACTAGTTTCCTAGTTGCCCTGACAACCAAGGGTGTTCCACTTCCAGACTTCCATGGTTCGGAGAGAGAATGAACATGTTTACCACCTTTGGTGCCCCTCTCCCCCTCGTTCCGTGGCCTCTCCGATCCGCGCGGTTCTGGGCAAACCGGCCTGAGGCCGCGGAGTTATTCGAACGGGGCAGTTGATGTTACGGAAGGGCGAAGAGGCATGTGATCGGTTCTATGCTCCTCTAAATGTTCCATGGATGCCACATGCCTGATTGGTTCTCCGAACATGATGAGCGATGGACAGGGTGAATCTTGTTATCGAAATATCTGGTGGCGCTTTAACATGCTTTAAGAAGTCAGCTGGAGGCATAACCAGTCTTGCAATTTATGCAAATGAACTCGTCTTCAGTCTGAGTCTGAGGTATACCAACAGAACAAGCTCTGATTTATTTCCTTGTTGTCTCTCAGCGGCACACTTTCTGCAAAGCAGCCTTAGGCAGCAAATTCTGCAAGCCAGCCACGGGCCCCCCAACAGTCAACCTTTGCATGCCTATGTTCAATGACCGTATTGAAAATCCTTCAGGTCGAGAAGGAATGTCTAGGACCAGGAACAGGCTTCTTGTTTAAATTACACTTTACACTTTACACCTTTCACTCAGGCTTTGCCAGAACCTCAGCTGCTCAGCCAAAGGCCACCAACTTCGACCCATCTCCAGGCACGGCCTGAATGGGCGGTTGTTGTTCCATTCATGAAACAAAAAGTTTCATCATCAATCCAACAAAGTATGGGAAACGTCAGGAAGTCCTCGATCCCGAGGCGCGCACCAACAAAAGGCCTCCAGAGGTTTGTGCCTGGAAGCTGATCAACTTGGGTGTTCCAAATGGTCTGCACCAAATAAATCATGCCACCGGATGGGGACCGGATGCTTTCAGCATGCCAAGATATGTCAAGTGCCATCTATCAAGAACACAAAGCACTAGAACGATGACCTGGGCACCATGCCCACACGGCGTCCGTACTCGTGGAAAAAAAAAAGAACACAAAGCACTAGAAGGAACGTCGCAACCATGCATCCACCAGGCAAGACCCCATCACAAGCAATACTCTTGACATCCAACACCCACCTCCCAAGAAAGCGACGACAATCCTGTTCTTAGATGTTCGAACGGCATCTGAGTGTAGCGCGTCTGCAAGCAGAAGCTTCATTTCCCTGGATATGCCCTGCGCAGCACTTGGAAAGATCTGTAGTAGTGACTGTAGTGGCTCACAGGAAGTTGTCAAAGCTCGGTACTGAAAAACTGCTTGGCAACATCGGCGCACGAAGAGGAACGCGCAAAGAACACTGGAGTGTCTATAGATCTCTAAACCACAAACAATCCGAGGTTGGGTGAGCCACGTGTCCATCTGCGCTGAGCAGCCCCAAAACGAAGAGGGGCTTTTGTCCCAACTTCTTTGTCCGTGAACTTGGCCTCTTTGCACACAAGGCATAATGAGTTCAACAAAACGTTTTACAGTCCTCCGACCCTCCGATTCAATTTCAGAAGGGTGTTGTCGCTCTGCAAACGTCAAAAGGGAAATAAGGAGGCACGAGGTCGTCACGCATGTCCTTCGGGAAGCAGGTCGTGGGTTCCACCAACTTCAAGTTATTCAAAGAGCCTCCAGGCACCTTGGTGCTGGGTGTGCGAGGAGCTTTTCAATGCCAAGAAACGGAGCCATTGCAGGTCAATTTACGCAGTTGAAGGCTTCCCCATCTTCAACACATAGTACAGTGGAGGACGGGCGGTTAGAATATGAAGTTCAAAGAAATATGAAACATGTTTAACTGCAATTAATTTCCCAAACCTTCCAAAAGTTCTGTTTTTTCACCAGTTGAACAACAAAGTGTATATATTATAGTACCGGTTTACATTAAATTCACTCGCTGCAAATCACCACAGTTGTTTTTGATAAGATTGTGTATTCGTTTCATTGCGTCTTTATATTCTAACTGCATGTGGTCACCGATCTCCCCCCGCTCTGTGTATGGCCATAACTGCAACGTGAACAAAAACATATTCTAACTGCAAGTCCGCCATAGTATACAATAATCCATGGCCACAAAGGACTCCCTTCTACCTACCAGCCTGATATAGCCTACCCCCTGCGACCTCTAGTGTTTTTTGAGACCTTGAGGCCCTTGCGCATTGATCGTTTCCAGCCAAGTCTTTGGCCTGGTGCGAGGGGGGACACTTGACAGGTAATCAAGGTGGTGTCTTTCCACCTCACAAGCGGCTTGCCAGACTTGAGATAGGAGGGGTGAACGAAAGGTAGCAAATCTTTCACATGCACATCATCGCTGGTCTTGCAGTACACGAGTCAAAGCTCTGTTCGAACTCCTGTTCACTTCTTGATTATGACCCAAACAACGACGGCGCACGGGGGATTTGATCCACGCCCCCCCCATGTCAAACAGAATCCCTCCTTACAGGACCAAATGCAATGCATAATCCCAACTCCAGATTGTAATACATTTTGCTAAAGCAAGGAGAACTCAGGTAGCTGAAGCTACCTTTCGTGATTAGGGTCCTATGCTAATTGGCAATTGTCACGTTGGCAGTTGTCTTATGTTCAATAAGAGTAAGTTGGCTAGCGCCTCTTGCTTGAAACTGTGAACTGCCACAATACAGTACAAACTTGGGCATGAGGCATCCCCAAGAAAAAAATAGTATGGCAGGATTTGCGGTCTGGATGGCGAGCAAACCCACATTACAAGGCCAGTTTGCCGTGGCTGCTTCTTTTCAGCAGTCCACCCTCAATCGCCCAAACTGGCTGCTTCCGCTCCTGTGGCAGCAAAGGCACTGCCTGATCACACCATTGCTCTGTTGATCTGCTTATGACGGGTATGAGTCATGACTCAAGGGACAATCTGGAAAATAAGAAACATGGGACCTCGAATCATCGTTATGAGCTCGGGATCACCCACTTGCCCAAGGCTGGAACAACCAGTGCTTACGTTCTCCCTTGCAAAATCCTGGCCGGAACCTCATTCAATCGTTTGTTTCGGTGTGCTTGCTTGGTCTTCGGCCATGTTTGTGGGCCTGACTCGTGCTACTGGCCCAAGTCACTTGACATACTGTACCTTTGATCTCGGAGCTGACATAGTGTTGAATGAATTGCGGGAAGAAGGGTCTCCAAGTCCGATTGTGCAACCAAGAATCAAATGGAAGCTGACATTAACATTAACTGCATGGACACAATCTAGTCTTCCCACATCTATACAGTATACTTATAACTATGCAGGTGTTCAATGTGTTCCGTGAGTCGTTTTGGGTGAGCACCGTGATATCCATGCAACTGGCCTGAGCACTGATCACAGCGCACAAGAACCGGCCTAGGCCACGTTTGAATAGCGAACACCGGCTGGCACTGTTGATAATAATAAGCCAAAAGGCGAAGGTGACATGACACGACCTTCAAGAAAACAAGGCACAAAACACAAGTGTTCTCAGGGCGACCTTAATTCACAGCATGCAAATTTTACTATGTCAGGCATCTCAGGGCATTCTTTGTGGCGAAAATGCTCCCTTTGAAGGGGAATCTCGTTCCATCGTGGGGGACGGGTGACACTAACCATTGCTTCAAGCACCTCGCAAACCTCCAACAGTAACCAATGATTTGTATGATGCGTCTGAATCCAACCATCTGGAATTTTGAGAATCAAGGAGAACGTGAAAAGAACATCATGAGAGGGTGCCCCAGCACTTTGATGCACTTTGAACATACTGTCATACTGTCACTAGCTCTTGGGAAACCTTGCCGAACATGATCAGGTTGCATTTTGTATAGCGCGCTTTACGCTGCTCGACATCTGAGTCAGCAGTGCGTCCGTCTCACAGACAGGACATGGCAGATGGATCAGGTTGCAAAAAAGGCACCCACCGGGCGGTCCACTTCTAAGACTGCGACTTTCACCATTTCCTTGTCGCGCCTCGCTGCCCAGTGTCCAATTGGATAAGACACCCCCACTTTTGAGGGGAGCCGGATGTTCCTGCCAACCGGCATCTTCAGGTGCCCATCAAAGCACGAGGGGGTGGACACATCGATTGACTTGCTGTGATTTGATCTATTTTGCTACGTCTCTATTCTCAGCTCCGGTTTTCTACACTGACAAATGGCTTGGGGATGTGGGATGCCAGTGGGTCTCCCAAGCAGTTGGGACGAAAGGAACTGACCGACACGTGGTAGAAACAACATGCGGGTTTTGAAAGGGAATTTTTTAAAAGCTCGAAAATCTGGCTGGTGATGCTTCTCACATCTTCTATCTGTGGCTCGGGCTCGCGCTCGTTTAGCTGCAGGCTCAGAGTCTTCTGGTGTGAGCATTTCCTTCAGATGTCCCAGCCTCGGTGCGGGAACAATCTTGGATATCAGGGAATTGCTCATAAATCGGCTTCTCTTAACCCAAAGTCAGATCTCTGCTGATCGACGCTTCACGACCAAATCCACCGGGCCCATGACAAGCCAAAGCCAGTGACATCCGTGGCTGCGTGGACCTCAGGCTTCAAGGGGGTCCCGGAGCCAAAGAGAGAATCCCGAGACCCGAGCTGTCGCGGAGAGACTTATAGGAGACACACATACGGATATTTATATATATATATATATATATTCAGGTCAGTCGTCGAACGGTCAGCTCCCTGCAAAGGGAGCTGTGGTACCTTAGCTCTGTCGAGATAGAACAGTAACCAACTGAAACTATCTCGTGAGCTGTCCCACCTGGCCCCGAACACGGGGCGAAGAGACAACATTGAGTTGGCGGGCATGGGGGTCTGTACTATTGGAGGACCTCATGTGTTGCTTTATCGATGCAGGATTTCGTCCATCAACCGTATGACATGTGGAAGTTGATTACTGACTGGGACTGGGTAGGTATATAGTTGACTGGGACTTGGTAGACCGAGAGTGTTTTGGTTTGTTTCCTTCGCTTGCACCCTAGCCCCTTGAGAGGCATGGGTCTAGTCTGGTGCTCTTTTCTATATGTGAGCTGAGCATATCACTGAAAGTACAATCATCATCCCCGGAACAGGTCCGACCAAGGATCGACTTATACTGATATGTTGAATACACACCCTGAACAAACGGCCCCCCCAATAAATCAAAAAGTGACTCCTTAATGGAACAAGAGCAGTCTACTTTCTTTTGCGAGATAATTGAATAGGTCCACCTTGCAACCTCTTAATACCAAAAACATCCAAAAACAATCATGTTGGACATCTCTGTCGTCCAATAAGATACCCTATCAATCATGAAAGGGCAAATCACAATTGCCTCACAAGCGCTTCCAGAAGTGGATTCTATGTTCCCAAACCGCACCTGGCACAAATCCAACAACTATTCATACCGTACCACAAAAATCCGTCGTTCGATTGATCGAAACGGCCTCCGCTTCGGCATGCGCCACCTCAGCGGCTGTCTTGTTCAGCTGGAGCCTCATGAAAAGCACCAAACAGGCAGGCGATTGGATGGCAATTTATTGAATGGTCGCCAACGAGATGAGCAATAATGCTCCAAGGCATTTGTCATCATTTACACATAGTGAAAGAAACACATGAACTGAACATCTCTTTCGTTCCCTGCGCTGTGCTGCTACTATCTGAAGGGTGCGTTGTGGACGGATGCCGTTGTGTGCGTCTTGTAAGTGCAAAATGCTTTTGTCATGCTGTTTAGGCACTTGTTCTGATTGGACATTGGAGCTGCTCCCACAATTCTTGCTGAAGGCAAGAGGCCACCGGCGAGCAGCCCACTTTCGTCACTGACCAACGTTGCCCAAAGCAAATCGTGCATGGCAGCCACATGGCCGCTCTGAAACTCTCCTAGTCTCTGACAGCGTGTCTTCCAGCTGCTTCCGCGTCCCAGGTTCCAGCAAGCCTGAGCTTCGCCATCTTCACAAGTGACCACAGCCAGGGAGTATTGAATAAAGACAATAGCATCATAATAGTTAGAAAGACAATATAAATAAATATCTTGTCCAGCCATGAGACGCCTGCCGTGTGGTGGTTCAATCTGTGCTCTGACTACATGATGGTATCTCTCAGCAGCCTTCAACACATCCCTTGCTTTCAAACATTTGGTGCTTATTGTCCGTGGAGGCCTCCATAATTACAGTTTTGTTGAAGACTGCACCAACAATCCCAGGGCCAAGTGTTTTCCTTCAGGGGAAAAAGCAAGTGGCATGTTGACCAGCCTTTCTTCTGTGCAGTTCCCAGAATTCCGGTTCCAATCCTTGGCATCGGAGGCAGATTGATGTCGCGGCCCCGGCTGCAACCGAGGAACTAATATGAAATATGACAACCAAACACCACACACTAATGTTGACCTGTGATTAATAAAGCCCCCTAGAATAATGTATTTGTTTTTCTCCTGCACAGATTAATAAAGGCCCCCAGAATAATGTCTTTTTTTTGGCAGGGATAGTTGTAGTGGAATATGTTTTATTGTTATAGTTTACTTTTTCCCTTTTGATTTGCTTTACTCACCCTCTATTCCTTATTTACTTTTCCTAAGCTCTTTAGTATTGAAGCTTTCCAAAAGTTTCCAAAAGTCAGTGCGCACTTTCTTTATAAAATCCCTTATTCAAACATATTGAAAAACAAAAAAAATCATTCAAGCAAAGGGGGTAGTCCAGCAAGCAGCTTTCTGACATTATTTAAGGGGGCCCCCTAGAATAATGCCTAGAGATTTGAGGCGTTAAATCTTTATTCCTTTTCTTTGCCTTTTGATTTGCTTTACTCACCCTCTATTCCTTATTTACTTTTCCTAAGCTCTTTAGTGTTGAAGCTTTCCAAAAGTTTCCAAAAGTCGGTGCGCACTTTCTTTATAACATTCCTTATTCGAAAGTATTGAAAAACAAAAAAATCATTCAAGCAAAGGGGGTAGTCCAGCAAGCAGCTTTCTGACATTATTTAGGGGGGGCCCTAGAATAATGTCTAGAGATTTGAGGCTTTAAATCGTTATTCCTTTTCTTTGCCTTTTGATTTGCTTTAATTACCATTGAAATTGCAGGTCTTTGGATTTAGATTTCCATTGAACTTTAACACGTTAGTTCTATTTGCATTGATTCATTCCCTTTTATTGTAATTCATATTTCAGATGTCTTTTGGAGATTTCCATTGAGATTTGATGCTTTTGGAGGTCTTTGGATTTAGATTTCCATTAAAATATTGAGAATTCCATTTCAACTTTATTGATTTCCTTTTACTTTAGTATTCCAAATTTGAGATTTCATTGATTCCCTTTTATTTTAATATTGCCAGAGAAGGCCAAGAAGATTTTAATAAGGATTCTTTTCATTTTGGTCCTTTGATTAGTTTTCTAGTAGATTATATTGGAGGCCCTGGTTGTTGAGGGGGGGGGGCCGGGGGGGGGGTTGATTAATCAAGAGTCAACATTACACATTTGATATGGCTGGAACTTCCAAAAGCAAGGGAACCATACTTGAGTTTTCGCTTGGTCCTGGTGACCCCCTTGGCTGGTTGCAGTAACTAACAACTTGGTCGGTGGCTCCAAAAGTGCGGGACAGCTGCGGCTGTTTGTGCCGTGCTTTGCTGAGATTGCGGCGGCTTGGTCAGAATCAAGCTATCGCCAGCTCGCAAGGCGTTGTTGCGCCAAACCTGCTGGAAGGCCGATGTTCGCCACCAAGGGCTTTTACAGCTCAATCCAAATGAAGGAAGCATACAACCAGCCGTGCCTTCTTCGGGTGAACCACACCTGCAGTCAAAGCGGACCCAAAGCAGATTTGAACGCTTGCATGATCCCTCGGTGGTGCCAACAACGGCACCCCAGCGAACTTGAAGTATAATGAAGTATATACACACGATCTATTTCTGGGGATCTACCCAGGATTTGAACCTCGATGCCGTTTGGGTGCGTCACCTCAGTTCAATATTCTGTGGGTTGATTGAGGCGTGCGGCAAATGGCTGCACAGGTCGTTCTCCATCAAGTGGGATATAGTGGGATCACACCTGACATTCCATTACCTTTCCTTTAAACCAAAATTCCGCCCAACGTGAGGGACCCAAACCACATGAGCTCCCACTGCCAATCACGTCAAAGACGCAAAGCAAAAAGCATGTTCCGCCGACTTGGACTGCCCACCTATCACGGCGAGGCCGTACTTGGGCTCCAAATCTTCCACCGTGTGGCCGCCCAAAATCGAGACTTTGGCCTCGGCACACTTCTCCTGGCCTTGGTGCATTCGTCCATTCATGCAGCGGTTGGAGAAAACGGAGCAGAACGGGCCTTCCAAAACCATTGACCTATAGATCGCCGAGCCATCTACATTCCATATCACCAGATTCATCAAGATTCTCAAAAACAACCGCCAAGCAAAAGGAATGGCTGGTGTGGGTATGGAAGGGCCAATAGTTACCTCAAACAACAATAGGGAAGAAGTGAAGCCTTCAGCTTTCATGGCATTTAAATTGCCAATGAAGAAGCATGTTGCTTGGGGGGGTTTTAGGCGGTAAGGCCAGGTGCAGGAGTTGTATATAGAACTCAAGAAGGGGGACCCTCAGGACCCTCAACCAAAAGGCTTCGTAATGTCATCTCTTTCGCCTTGTGCACGGCCTGATGACAGTCTAAAATGATTGACAGTCATGCCAACAAACAATGGAAGGCGCTGGGGATGGGGAAAAAAAACAACTTGTGCACACCAGTGTGAAATAGCTTGTACGAGTCCCTATCTTGGTTTCTAAATGCGCAGGGAGTTGCCGCATCTGCTATATATGTGCAACTATATATGTACATAATTGTACAGTACATATACACTTTTATCCCATCAGAACCCTCCCACAGGCTCATGAGTGGGACTTCTTCCATTTTGCTGAGCACATTGATGTGATGATGGTGGTGATGATGATGATGATGGCGACGACGGTGATGGAATGGCAACAAAAATGACCATTCGTAGATGCATGTCTTGCTTGCCATGATTCCATCAAGACCGATGTGGATTCGGTGTTGGATATTTTTGGGCGGCCAATCGCACAGCATCCGGCAGCAAAGCTTTTGTTTTGACAAACCACTTGATTCCTCCAAGCTGACCAAGGCATGAAAGGATCGACGAGTTTCTTCACGTATTTGTGATGGAGGTTACTCTGGCATTACAAGACTGCTAGGGTCCCGGCCGCCCTTGAGTATCCTGCAGCCAAAACAGGTACCGTGTATCATGACATCACAGTCATCTTCAACATCCGCGTGCTGTCTTGTGCCCCAACTGGCCAAACTGCACACGACGCTCTATTCAACTCATTGGCACGCCAGCCTGGCCAATACGGATGGCGGCAGGCGATTGGATGGAAAGCCCACCTTGGTAGCATTACTCAGCAAAACAACAAGGTATAAAATTAAGTGGTGTGCTCTGCTGACTTCAACCCCGCTGAGTCTTCAGAGTTTTGCCGGAATGAACACCGAGAACAAAAACCAGAGATCGGTCATACAACTTTTCGCTCAGCTCGGGGCAATGTTCATGGCAAAAATGGGTTTGGCACCCATTGCATACCTTCCGTATGTCTGTCCGTACTGTCTGTCGCCGGCTGTGGGTCAGGCAGCTTCACTGAAAATCGCCCCTGGGCCTTGCCCTCTTCACTTTCAAATCATTCAATCCAGTCTTGGGATGTGGCTTTGGGGCAGGCCTGTCTTGAAAACAGGTCACAGTGGGGATAGTGAGGAGCCCATCCCTGGCGCACACATCTGACAAGGCATTCGCCGCCGCGATGCCGCCAAAGACCTGATGACATGACCCACGGTTGATCCGCAGCGGAAAGTATGGCGCACACAACATGTGCAACATAGCATCGAGCTAAGAAGGATGAACATCCATGTGAAACAGTCAAACATAGTCAAACACTGACTCGCACCAACAAAAGCTACCCCTTTGGAACCCCTGAGTGGCAAACTTTGTGTGTGTGTTCGTGTGTTTCACTCTGTCTCTCTCACGCTCCCTCCTTCTCTATCCACAAGTAGCGCATTTATTGAACTCACAATTCGATGTCACCCATCCATGCCAGGGCCATGTCCGTACTATCTGGTGCTGCCTCAGGTTCGTCGACGATCGGGGTGAAGAAGTCCAAGGTACCCACAATCGCAATGTCGTCGCTCACCTGCTGGGGTGAAGAAATCCAGCTGAGCTCCTCATAAAACATTTCCCACCTGATAGACACAAGCATCCTCATTGGATCGGCCAAGGCCAGCAAGGACCTAGACTCCATCAGCTGGAGCTTTGCAGCTCCCATGATGCTGGAAAATATTGGAAAATGCAACAATACTGTTACGCGACAAAACCTCTCCTGACTCCAATGCCAACTCAAGGTGAACCAAATTCTTTTGGGAAGAAGCTTTCATCGATGTTATAAAATGCTATATAGTTGATAAATGTGCATGTATAAATTAACTACTTTTTACTTTTTTGGTGCGCACACGCGCACACGCACAATTATATATTATATAGTGATATATACGTATATATAACAATTGGTCTTTTTGTCCTTGCCCTTCACTACATTACATGTATGATGCTCTGTGAAACTAGCAGGTCTCCCTGGAGATACACAAACAACAACAAACCAACGAATGCGGGGTCCGAATCGCGTATGCAGGCCCGTGTGCAAGTAGGGTCCGAATCGCAATGTCCTTTCCACCGGTGTACAGCTAGGACACCGGGCATTGGGATCCACGACTGCGCCGCTAACGGCCTGGGTTGACGCGGTGACTTCACTCGGCGAGAAACGCGTAAAAAAACTTGGCAGGTCAGTGAGGAACCACAAGCAATGCAACGCAGAACAGCTGGTGTCAATATCTTGAAACTTCACTAAGTGACACCTTGGGACCATGAGTCCCATCACTTTCCAGACGCTGCTGAAGCGCATGTTACAGCGTCATTCTTTAATGCTGTATTCTTATCCACCCCGTCTCTCCATCGACAATGGACAGCTAACGAAGCAACTGGAAGCATCTGGAAGCCCCTTTTCAGCGACAAAGCTTCTCCATTTGTTTCACGGGGAATGATGCTGGCAAAGACAGTACCATGTACCGTATACATCGCCAACATCATTTTGCAAGGTGGGCACATGTCATGGTCTGTCTATATTTCTTCAGTTCACCCCCGTGGCAGTCATGGAGCGATGAAGTTCGACCCCCTTTTCTCTGCGCAAAGCCGATCCAAATGCACGGTCCGCCGCTCATGGTCCTGCATCGCCATCATGCGGAGCGGGTAATTGGTATGTGTCCAACATGTGAACGTTAAGTGATCTGGTGTCACGTCATCAAACTGGACTTTCAATCAAGTTCTCCGGTTTTCATTCTTCAATTCTGAGACTCTAAGACCAGCATTTCACATCTCACCATACCTCACCTACATATATTTTATTGTATTTTAGTCTCAGCTCAACCTCTTCATGAGAGTCGCGCAAGAACACACAATACTTGATGTTCCTCATGCTCCCAGGTCCTTCAAAAATGTCTTTGTGCTCACAATTTCACGGGTCTTCCCGGTTGCGAGAGAACATTCAAACAAATCATCCACAACTCTTCTTTCTTTAGTTGGGTGTAGAATCAGTGTAGAATGGCCTCCCAGCTTCCCCATGTTCCACTTGTCCGCATCCCAACAGGGTAGCTCACTCTGGCTTGACCCATCCCTCCACACGTACGCCTGTGCCCCGTCGCCTCACTCGGTTGGGAGTTCCCATTCGTCATCATCGATGGCCTGCTGGAGGGATCCGGGCTTCTGGCCATCTACCGTGCAACCCACGGCGAAGCCTCGGTCACTGCTGTGGATTCATGGCTCAGAGGGCAGGCTTTAAAGGTCTGAGAGGGGTGGTTGGTGAACATCTCCACAGCCACCGTCCTGAGCCGTTTCACTGGAAGTTTCACTCCACCGTCTCAGACCTTTTCCTCGCTGCTCAGTGACAGGTGCCCAGGATCTCCTTGGCGGTGCCTTTGAACTCCTTGGCCAAGCTCTTCTTGCGCATCTGGCGGACAATGTCCAGGAAGACGTTCTTCGTGAGGTTACCAGTGTGCTTGATGTTCTTGGTCTTCCTAGGGCATTGCTGCAAGGTGATGCAAGGCGCACATGATCACAAGTCCAGGTCAATTTCTATATGGACTATGCAAAATACATGCACACGAAACATCACGCAAAACAATTGACAGCACAATGTCAATGCAATCGCGAATCGAAACTCGCCAGCATAGCCGCTGCCAGGTTGGGAACTACAATCAGAATGTTTCTTTTGGATGCATGTTCTGTGTCAAGTTCTATTTTTGGGGTTTGGCGACATGTGCCACACAACCGGTGTGTCGCCTTCGCAGCTGATCTGCGTGGCTAGAATGTGCGAGATGAGATGCCGCTGAGATGCTTTCGATCACGCAAAGGTTCCTTCAAGGCCTTGATGATGAGGCTCGTTGCATTTGGCTCCACGTCCACTTTGGCTTGGCGGTTCTGAATCGTCAACTTCACGGTCACACGGATGCCCTGACATGTGACCCAAGCAGCATAGGTGCCCCCTCACCAGGTTTAGGGGCGACCTTTGAGGTTAAGCCCCTCAACTTGGATTTCTGGTTTTGTAAAAAGACTTCGCAACCCCAATCTCCAAAACTATTCCAAACTCAAGATCCCTCCTTCCAAACCAAACATTCCCTTCCGCAGCGACCTTCGGCTGGTGCCCTTCCCTGCCTTCCACTGGCTGGTGCCCTTCACGATATCATCGCCCACCTTCTTGGGTGACATCCCCAGGGGCCCCACCTTCGGCGCCAACACCGAGGAGGGTGCCTGCACCGACAAGATCGCGAAACAACCGGTTGGCTCAACTGCTAGTCTTCTTACTGGTGCACGATTGGGCCAAACTGAACCTGCGTTTTGACATTCGTTCGTCATGGATTTCAATATATTTCAATTGATGTCAATCTGGAATTTTGGTTTACATGGTATGCCCCCCACGACCTGCCCAATACACCTGGAATAGTTCACAAACAAATCCAACTCATACTTGGTAGCGTTCCGGCACCTCTGTAATATGCCGAAACCCTAGCATGCCATTCAACCCTCCGCCCAGCTGCGGCCTGCTCTCCACCATACTGTCGCAGGAAGACCTTGCGTGTCGCCGAGGTCTTGGGGGACATGCCCAGGAAGCTTGGATATCAGTGCGGTTCTTATGACGATCATCGACATGTAAAACACAAAGATCAGCAGCTAACCGTTAACCCCACCATGTCCCTGATTTTGGTGACTCTGCTCCTTTCGGGGCCTGTGGATTGGGGAGGGGCTTATGACAGTCAGTGGGAAAGTCCACTGCACAATGCTGAAAGCTTATATAATTATGTAAAAATGCAATTGTCAATGTTGTTTTGCTTGCATGTTCGCTACAGGGAGGAAGATCGTGTGGATGGGTAAGTTGGTTTGCCCTCTGAAACACGAATGCGCCCCATCGACTAGGGGCTAGGCCGATCAATCAACCCTTGTCAATTCCCACTAATGCATGGGGCCTGCAACTTCCAAAAGGTGGACTCTTGCTGTTTCCCACGTGTGCCACCTCCCCAAAACAAACATCTATTGTAGCTTCTGAACCAGTCTTGCTTTATAGTCCGTATCATTTCCCCGTCAAACTTGTACAAATCATGCTGACGAGAATCGTCCTTATGTGAACCGACATGCATTCGAAATGCTGCCATGTGCTACCTTCATATTATACAGTATATATGCATACTGCTGTACACTCCTGCACTGATGCATGCTCGACATTCTGTTCGCACCAAGGTGTTCCTCCAAATGTGTGACTTTTCCCCATGAATTTGAGGTATACGGACTGCACTGAATTTGAGGGTTGGACCATACTCACCCTCAAGAAACATGGACATCGATCAATCAAATCGAACACACAAAAAAAAGATTCAAAAACAACACCTGTTCGAGAGTCTGATGGTCAGTGAGCCATGAATCTCAGAAAGTGAATAAACATAATAACACAAATGTTGTTGAACCTTTTATGAGGCAGTTCCACAGCTCTTTGTTTTACATCTGCCGCCTTCTTTCGCTTCGCTGGACTGAGGCTTCTTCGGTCTATCCAGGCACGCAGGGGTCAATCGTCACAGTCTGCATTTCTGGAACAAATCCCTCACACCAAGGAAAACTGAACCTAAACCACATGAAAGGTTGCAGCCAAAATATTCGCTATATATATTGTGATTGCACGCATGGCAGGCATGAGTTCGTCGTTCCACCAGGGACTTTTTTCGGCGCGAGGTGAAAAAGCCCGATCGTTCCCTTCAGCCGAAGGGTAGTTGCTCCGCAATTGGTAGCGGAGCCTGCTCAAAAGAGCAGGCTCCCGCCATGGCTCGTTGAACCTGACCTTCAGGCGAAGGTCCTACGCATGGCAGCGATGACGTCTTCCACCTCGACTGAAGGTGGGCTCCGTTTCTTCTCGGGGGATTCCGAGGATGGCCGTGAGTACAAACGCTGGAAGCAATGGGTGAAGAACAAACTGCTGACGCTTGACAAGTTGGCGGAGGGCTCCAGAGGGGCCTATATATACACCCTTCTCTCTGGCAAGGCCTTGGAGGCCGTGGAACACTTAGATCCCGAAAGCTATCAGAAGAAGGGCGGAGATGATGCCCTATGGGCCATTTTAGACAAGCGATTCCCTCAGCAGGAGACAGTGGATGAGTTGGGGGAGATCCTGACCGAGATCTTTGGACTTCGCTCACATGAAGGCGAGTCCATGAGACAATGGACCGCCAGGGCATCCGAGCTGATGGACAAATGTCACCGCAAAACTGGAGTCTCATTCCCGGATGAGGCCAGGGGATGGCTGCTACTCCATCGAGCTGCTTTGACGGAAGAGCAAAAGGCGGTGGTGATCGCCAGGGCTCGAGGTGACTTGAAGCGGGAATCCATCGCCTCCGCACTTCGATCCTGCTACCCAGAGCTGGTCATGACTCGCAAGCGTGCTGGAGTGGCAATGGCCGAGGAACAGGATGGGGGCGATGACACTGCTGAAATATGGGATGATGGTTTTTCCGACGTTGAGCAGTTGTTGGAAGACCACCATGCTGGTGTCGAGGCGGGACCCGACATCGAGACCTTCCAGGAGTCCGAAGTCGCTGAGGTTTTGGCCGCCACCTGGAAAGAGAAGAGGCACGAGTTGAACCGCCTTCAGAAAACTCGTCAGTTTCAGAAGGCACGAGATGTCAAACGAAGCTTTCGGGTGGAGATTGAGGAGATGAAGAGGAACTCCACTTGCAATCGTTGCGGCCGCAAAGGCCATTGGGCACGAGAATGCCGCTCGAAAGAGACGACCAAAGGAGCTGGCAAGTCAAAGACTTCTGGATCTAGCGCTGCATCCGGTGCAGCGGTGGTGCAAGAACTGGATTTTGTGGCCTCAGTGATGGCTACGCCTACGTTGCTGGAGCGAGTTCGCAAGCATGTGAATGAGAAGAGTCAGCCCGATGCTCCAGCCACCACAGAGGAGATCCTGCTTGTGTCGTCCCCAGGCTATGGTGTCCTGGATTCCGGCTGTGGTCGGACTATTGTTGGACAGACCACCCTCCGTGCTTTTGAGAAGATTTGGAAGCAGAAGGGATGGGCAATTCCGAAGCCCATCGATGAAGTGCATCAATTCAAGTTCGGAAATGGTGAAGTGGAGACATCCATGGTCTCCATTCAGATGCCTGTAGTTTTAGCTCATCGCCGAGGTGTGATTCGTGCTGCAGTGATCAAGGGTGATGCTCCATTGTTGTTGAGCCGCACAGCACTCAAAACATTGGGTGCGACTCTGGACTTCGCACATGACAGCCATGAGAGCGTCCAGGTGTTGGAAAGACAGTTCCCCTCCAAACCAACAGTGCTGGACAGTATGTAGTGCAATTGACTGGGGAAGATTCCTTGTGTTCGCCCGCAGCCGCTTTTACAGAAGTGATGGCATCTGTGGAGGCCTCTCCAGGTCCCACGGCATCTCATGAGCATGTTGATGAGCCGCAGCTTGAGCCGGAAATGCCTGCGGCAAATGCCCCCGAGTTGACCTCGCCGTCAGCACCTGACACGGCGATTTGGGAGCAGGAGGACTGTGATGTCGTCACCACCCCATGGTTGTCTCGCCAAGGGCCAGCATGGAAGCATGTGTTTCGTAGGCGGGTAACCGACATCCAGACCTCAAAAGTCATCGATGATACCCGGATAGATCCAGGGACCCCTCAACACAAGACGATGGCAAAGTTCTTTGAACGTATGCCGCATGTGAAAACTGAGTTTTTCTTTGTCGGGAAACAAATTGAAGGTGTAATGATTGAAGAGTGGCAACCGTCTCATCACCAATGTCGACAATTGCATCGGCAGGCTCAGGCATGCCTCGCAGTTCAAGAGGGTAGGAAAATCAAACGGTGTTTAGTCATGGAGGTGTTTTCACCCCCTCGGTTCACGACAGCCGCCGAAGCAGCAGGTTTTCGTGCCAAGTCATACGACCTAATAAATGGTTTTGATTTCCGCCTCAGCCGTCACAGGAGCGCCGTTGAGCAAGAGCTCATGACAGAGAAGCCACGTCTTCTGGTGTTGTGCCCGCCGTGCACCGACGAAGGCGGGTGGATGCACCTGAATAGCACGAAATGGACCCGTCTGGAGTACCTCCAACGAATGGCACAGAGTCGTAGTTATATTAGATGGTGCTGTAAGCTATTCAAGCTACAAGTGTCTCTCGGAGGTCGGGCAATGTTTGAACATCCGACGGGGTCTAGGTTGTGGACATATCCTGAAGTTCAAGCCCTGTGTCGTCGATTCACAACAGTCAAATTGCACATGTGCAGGTATGGGCTTCGTTTGCCTGAGAGTCATAAATTCATCCGCAAGAGCACCCGGTTGCTAGTGACTCATGAAGACATGTCGACCTTAGGTTTGTTATGCCCTGGAACCGGTGATCATGCTTCACATGACATAGTGGCAGGCAGTGCCCCAGGGGTTTCAAGTGTCAGTGAATACGCTGGACGATACCCACATCAGTTTGTGCAAGCAGTGCTTCAAACCGTAGAGGCCTTTCGCATGAGCAGTCATGACTCGAAGCAGTCATGACTCGAGTCCCATGCAACCATCAGCGGAACCTGCGGTGTGCATTCTCGAAGATGCGATTCCTGAAGAGAGCTGGTCAGAGGTCTTGGCTGTCAATGCCCTGAGTCAACGGACCGATGCAGAGCTCATTCCGGTTTTGATCAAACTGCACAGGAACCTGGGCCACCCACCAAATTGTGACTTGGTCCGGATTTTGCGTCACGGAAATGCCAGTGAACAAGCTCTCAAGTTAGCCCGTGAACTATCCTGTGATTTTTGTAAAAGCCAAGCCAAGCCAAAGAGTCCTCTTCCTGCACAGCCGAATAGGGTAACTGAGTTTAATCACCAACCGTTACGATCCCCAGCTGTACAAGGGAGAGCTGTTCCTACATACGACAACTGCTTATAGAACAGCTGTCGTTAGTCAACACAGCTCTCGGTTGATCAACAATGCATCATATTGTGTCTATATAAAATGACAATTGTCCATTCCAAACGACAATTTCCAGCTGTCGTTACAAACGACAATTGCCAAAATTGTTAATAACAACAATTGTCCATTCCAAACGACAATTTCCAGCTGTCGTTACAAACGACAATTGCCAAATTGAAGTTTTTCAACTCTAGCCAAAACAGTATTGGCACAGCGCTTGGCCTGGCAAGCTTCTGCTCAACAAACCTAGCTCCACTACCATAGTCACCATGGCCTGCACAAGGGCCACGCTACTTCCCCTCTGCGTGCAGCAAAGAACACTGATAGATGCTTTGGTTTGCTGCTGCCAGGCGCTAAAGAGTAGCAGCGCCTGCTGTGTGCCTTTGTAAGTCTTGAGCCGTTGAAAAAAGAAGTGGTGGGGATAACTCGTTGTCATTGGGTTTTGTGTAGGCATGTTTTCGGTTTGGTGCCCGGGTTGCCTCTAGAGGGTTGCCTGTAAAGGCGCATGGTGTTTGCACTGTGTTTGCCACACACGCACATATTCTCCACATATGCAAAGCAGAAAACTAGGTGACTAGATATACATGTTATATATATATCTATGGTAAAAGGTGGATACACGCACCGCCGCTCGCTGGCCACGACCGTTGATGAGCTGGAGTTCACACCTTTTCGCCTGGAACCCCAGATGGGCGATCACTTCGAAGCCGCTCTCGCTTTTTCAAAGCGTAGGGACAAATGAAGAAAGTATCGCTGCCAAAACCTTTTTTTTTAGAAGGCTGCCACTGTGACATTTGACTGCGATACGCTTGATGTACCCCAAAAAACTTTCGTCGTAAAAGCATGCCGCGACCATGCGCGGGTTCAATCTGTTTCTCAACACATGTTGAGAAATGTGCTGCAAGTAATGGGTTTTTGGTCTCAGCCGGAAAAGGCGAAACCCTTCAGTTTGGCATCGGTGAGCCAGGTGTTGCCAACACTGCAAGTGCTTGGTGAAGTGGTCGTGCACTGCCTGCGCCATGCGGTTGCTTCGTGAACCCCTCCCCCGCGCGCACACACAAACACACAGAACTTGCATGCAAGGAGACTTGAAAAAGAAAAAAGCAAAAAAAGGTTTGAACACGCTCAAACCTGCGCGTCTTGCTCTGGCAAAATGTAGCTATTGTGGTCCAGAACGTGCAACGCTTGGTGCAGTGACCACAGGCAAACAGCAATCAAAGCAGCGTCGGTGTCCTGCGTTTAGACTTTCAGATTTTCATAATTAAGCACCACTGGTGGGGTGGAAACACATATCCTGTAATTAATACAGTGTCAGCTATATAACCTTTTCACCTGGCCTCAGCGTGTGCAACTGAAATCTCTTGGGCATATGTCGCAAAGAAGGAAATCACCGTTTTCATAGCAGCAGCCTTGAAGACGCTTCCAAGCTCAGGGTAATCGGTGCTGTCCAAACCTGTGTTTGAAGGAGTGAATGTTTTGCAAGGGCCTTGTAGACCAGTCTGCTTGGAATACGCTTTCTGCTTCATTGAAACATTGGAGAGCCGTTCTGCAACGTTTCTGCCCTCTAGATACTGCTTCTTATTCCAGAAGCCGAGACAACTTGCAATCACTTCCTTGGCCGTTCCAAGGAAAATAACGTGCATCGGGTCGAAAAAGACAGATTTCACATGGAAACCTGGCATCGGTTCCCAAACACTCACATGTGCACCTGTCGACCGAAGATAATCTTCGTGCGAAAACCCTGTGAGCAAATGAGGCGCTGTTGGGTAGAAATCTTTGAATGTACAATCACCGCTTTTCGTGGCGCAGCAAATCTCGCAGATTGAGAAATGCAAGTAGGACTTAGTGAACTGATGTGCCTCCTTTCTGGCTTTGCAGTCTGACTTAAATCCAAAATAGGCGAACCTGAATCCATTGGCCACTTGTTTCCCACACAAGGTGGCGCGATGTCCAGTCAAAGGCTCTTCAAAAGCACCTAGCCTTGGAAATACGCCAGTCAAGGCATGCCGCATTGACCAGATCACGATTTCAGCAACAGCTTTATGCGCTGCTGTCTTGACCTGAAAAGATGATGGCGCTGCAAAAAACATCCAAACACTCGCAGAATCAGAACACAGGGCCTCACTCCTGTAGCTCAGGCCCAAACAGTCGGGCACGACATCATGTCATGTCGAATGATGCACACCGGGAACTTGCAATCCCACACCTTTCAGGGACAAACCTGTCCAACTACATGAACAAGAGAAAAACAGAGACACGCGACTGACATGTTGGGGATACATACGTTGCAGCCTCACCGGAAGCCAGAACGGATCCGAGCGACCATACCATGAACTCGGAATTCGAATAGAATTCTGCACCATCAATGTGCAAGGATATTGGAATTAATCCTTGGTCTCACAAGGAAAACGGTGCCTACCATGTTACAACCTTTGATTGAACCAATTCTGCCATGACTCGTTCCCTGCAAACTCCAGCCAAATATTTGGCTGGGTGACACCTCCATTCTTCTTGTTGAAAGCAGTGCTCCCAAAATCTGGCTATGTCATTTGCAGACCGGCCACCAGTCATTGAAAGCTGGAACTGCACAGAGCGAGACAAAAAATACTTGCAAGACTGTTCATCTCAAAAAAGATGGTAGACACCACCCCACCTGAAACTTGCCCGCTTCATAAATGGTATGAAAGAGCTCGTGGGGGAGCACAAATGGGATTGTCGTCTTCTCCAAGTGGGTTTTGTTTGGCGCCTCCAGTGGGCACACATATCAATCGCTCACTCCAATGTTAAGAACACAAATGTTTCAGGCCTTCTCTCACTCCAGAGTTCAAAAAAAGAAATGCTTCGGGCCTGCAACTCCAACTCCACATCATACGTCTCCAAGCCAAATTGGTACAGGTTCCGGACCCAACGGTGCATGTCCCTTTCTGAGTTTGAGGCGTTGTTGCCCCAAGAGCCTAAACTAGCCAAGGCCGCTACAGCTTGAGGCACAGACTTGCCCATGTCTGCAACGTTGGCCCGTGACAGCTCTGCCACGGCAGCTATTGAAGACCTCCCTGATCCAACCATGCCTTGCATCAGGCGAGGAAAATGGAACTTGGTTCTTTCCATTCAAATTGAACACCTTGACGCTGATCCACTCATACACAAAGATTAAACAGGTGCAGGTTGAGGCTCTCAAATATGAATCAGCCGTTTGACTGAAAGGTAAACTTTCATATCTTTGCTGACGATTCCTGGGAAACTCTTACGACTCACAACCGCCTGCGCACTCACGCACATAATGTGCACACGCACACCCAGAGACACTCCTTGATGTAGGTATTCTAGATCCTCGCGACTGCACACCTGCGCAGTGATTTGGGAATATGCCAACTGGCATCAAAGAAAGACCGGCTGTGTGGTTCTATGAGACTGCATACGAAAGGACACTCGCAAAAGATGTCACGTGTGAGATTGTTGAAGTATTGCGAAATGGAAAACCTTTTTACAGCTTTTTACAATTTCTTTGCAAAACCTTGGTCTGAAGTCTTTAGCATGTCGAATTGATGGCAAATTCCTGTTTGATACACAGCTGTTCAAAAGAAGAGACTGACGTAAGCAAATCGGTCCGCGTTTCGTTTTTTCACAGTTGTGCGTTCGCACTCTTGTTTGAAGAGCCCCCATGGACTTGAGAGGGACTTGAGAGACAGGCTGAACAGGCTATAGTTAAAATAAACCAGGCTCTATGCCTCGCAGGTAGCATCGCTCCCTGGACCCTTTTCGGAATCCTTTGGATGCTTTGCGTGACTGTTCCTGGATCTACCCCTAAGACCCCTAAGACAAGACGTTCGCTCTTCAATCCTCAGCCTTTTCTTCCTTCTTGCCTTTCTTTGTCTTTGATGACTTCTTTTCTCGCATTCCGCTCTGGAGTCCCTTCGCCGCTGCCTGCCACAGATAGCATGGTAAGGGCTTGTCGTTTGTCGTTTGTCTAGTCGAGACTTGTAAAGTAAGACTGGGATTGAAACAACTGAATGGGAGGCAGCGACAAGAGGGATTGTATTGAACTTGCAAAGCTTTCCCAGTGCACTATATAGTATAGAAGGGATGTGTGGAAATACTTGGAAGTGTTGAACCGAGACAGTGAACCTGGCCTCAGCTTGTTTGTACCATGCCAGTTGCGAATCCGCTGTGCTCATAAGACTCTTGTACTTCTTCGCTCCATCAACCCCCGAAGAAATGAGAGTAGACATCTCCCCATAGATCTTTTCCATTGCGTCCGAGAATTTGAGGAGCCCGGCAACCAGCTCCCCTGCGTAGTTCAACTGCTTCAGCGAAATAGCATATTTCCTCGCGTCCGCTGAGGCTTTCAAAATCTCTCCCCTTTTCTCATTTGCTTCTTCTTTTGGAGTCTTTGGTTTCATCTCTTCTGCCTTTTCTTCTTCACCATTCTTCCCTTTGCTTTTCCTCTTTGGCTTCAAGGTTGCTTGTTGGCTCAGAGCCCCGTGCACAGCCGTTTCACCCTTCTCAGAAACATTGGAAAGACCAGGGCATGCCCCTGGTGCAAGTGGGCCCCCTTCACCTGTGAGCACACTCATGATTTGTGGATCAGGATGTTTGTCCCTCACATTGAATCCAAAGGACTCCTGACATTTTGTCTCCTTTGACACTTCGCCTCCCTGTTGCACGTACCACCAGATCTCCTGGGCCGATGAGATAGCAACAGTGGAAGTCAAACCTCAAACCCAAAACACCCTTTGAACCAGGGGAAACTTTAAAGAGGGAAAAGGTTAAGAACCATAAACTTGGAAGAAGGTTCATCTTCATCCTTCTCAAAGTCTTCATCGTACTCGTACATCTCTTTGGAGCGAAGCCGGTCAACCAACTCTTTGGCTTTCCTTGTTGTGTTGCAGCACGGAAACCAGGAAGTGGGGTGGGAGGCCATAACAAAACAAACCAACCAGAACAAACAAAAAGTCTAGACTCAAATAATGACAGAGGTTCTTCTCACCATACTGTGCGACGATATCGCGAAACTTCATTCCCTTCCGCGACCTCTTGTTCTTTCTCGACTCTGTCACCCGACGCTCAATGTTGAGCTCCACCTTCTTCCACTCTCCACCACATTTGAGCCATTCACGGAACAGGTCAAGCTTGTGGTCCAAAAAGTTGGAAGCCAGCGCCGCTGGAAACACTTTTCTGTTCAGGCACTGGCGGTGGAACTGGTTCCATTCATTCTTGTGTGTAACGCTGTTGGCGTTAGCCAGATCCATGCTTTTCTTCTCTGCATCTTTGGCGACAGCAACGATGGCTGTGCATTTTGACCCATCTTTTCTTTCATCTTCGCTATCATCATCCTCACCTGACGAGCTCTCATCAGAAGAAGTTGAGCTGTCTTCTTCCGTTTCAGCATCCTCATCACCACCAATTCCTTCTTCCATTTCCTCTTCTTTTTGGTTATCTTCCTCCTCCTCTTTCTCCTCCTTGTCTTCATCTTCTTCGTCGCAGTCCTCCGCCTCACTTCCTTCGCCCTTCTCTTCATCATCCTCCTCCGATTCCTCCTCCTCCTCTTCCTCCTCCTCTCCATCTTCTTCCTCATTCATGCTGTCGTCTCCATCCGCTGCCCCTTCATCCTCATCATCTTCAGTCTTTTGATTTGTTTCTGCGCAAAGTTGCTTCATATGGCTTTCTAACACCTCTTCAAGCTCTAGGCTTGAAAGGCCAGCCAAATAATCCTCAAGCGACACCCCCTTTTTCTGTGCATTTTTCTTTGCCTCCTCAAAGTCGGCCAAATCCTGAAAGACACTTGCGCTAGGTGGTTCGCTGGCGGTGGCACTCACTTGAGAGTCAGCCAGAGCCTTGTTCCCACGCACTGGTGTGTATGGGGCTGTAGTGGCTGGGCTGGTGGCGTCGCTCTTCTGGTCTTTCTGTTTTTTGGCTTTCTTCTTCTTGCCATCCTCTTCTTGCTTTTCTCTTCTCTTGTGCTTCACCTCCTCATCCTCCTGCTTGCTCTTCTTTCCTTTCTCTTTCTGCTTCTCAGCTTTCTTTGACGTCTCCTGCTCACGAGCCCCTTTCTGTGGCTTCTCATTCTTCTCCTTTGCCTGACTTTTTTTCCTTTCTCTCTGCCTGCTTCTCTTGCTTCCTCTCCTTTCCTTTCTTTTCTTTCTTCTCATCGGCCTTCTTCTTTGCTACCTCCTTCTTTTCCTTGGCCTTCTCTGTCTTCTCCTTTGCCGGACCCTTTCCATCTGCTGTCCCCTTTGCGTCACACTTCTCCTTCTTCTCTTTCTCCTTCTTTGTCTTCTCTTCGCCGTCTTTTGCATCCTTCACCTTCTTCTCAGTCTTCTTCTGTGCCTTTTGCTTCTTGCCATGCTCCTTCTGCTTCGCTGGTGGCCTCTCTTCCTTTGCGTTCTTCTTCTCAGACTTCTTCTGAGGCTGAGGCTTTTCTTTTGACTCTTTTGGCTTTCTGAGTGGGTTCTTCAGCGCGGACTTCCGCACTGGCACAGTATCATCAGCTTTACCCCCCTTCCCGCGTATGCGACAGCTAGGGGCACCTTTTGCCATGCTCAACACTATTGGTTGGAGCCCAAAAAATATCTCAATTGAACCAAAGATGAAGCGTTGAAGTGCAATGCGCGTTCCTGATACGGTGGATCAATGTTTTTGAGGGTTCTCCCAGACTCGGCTGTTCTCTCCAAATCACGGCTTTTTCTCTCCGGGACTCGGCTGACCTATGACATCTTTTTTTGAAAAATATTGTTGAAAATTTGGGGGACCTTGAAATGTTTCATTTTTAATCTGGGTGCACTCAGCCAGATTCCATGATGCTTGGCCCAAGTCGGACGGTGTGAGGCTGGAGCGCACCTCCAGTCTTCAGCCTCTTCAGGACAAGCCTCCCGAATGGGGCTGGGATTGTGTAGTGAAGGGCTGGTTGGGAGGATTGCAGGGCACAACCGGTGATAGAGGTGCACCATTTTGCAAGCTCACCCCAAGAACAGTAATTTGTCTATTGGAATTATGGGGCGTGAATCAGTGCGAAGTCTTCTTCACACAGCACGCTCCAATGCAGCATGAAGTGCATTCATTGAATGTGAAAAGTGTTTTGCACACACACACAAGGCATCCCTCATGTTTTACATGAGAAACTCCAAGACTGGCTCTAGATTGGCCCACTTAATCCAGCTGGCACTCGCTCGGTAGTTCAAGCTCCGATCTGATCGCTTGAGATTGTGCTTGATTGCTTTCTTGGCCTCCTGCTGTGTTCTCACCTGAAGTTTGGTTCGCAACTTGCTCAAAGCCCTGCCAAACCTCAGGACACGTGGCTTACGGTCCGGTTTCCCAGCAGAGCTGGAGAGTGGGGCGCCGAACGAGACGGTGTAAAAGGATTTGGTTCATGCCAAAAAACCTACTTGCTAGCATTCTCTAGACATGCAATATAGATTTGGGTGTGGCAAGTGGGTTTCTGGCATTGAAAAGACTGATGAAGCCAGGCTACAACAAGGGGTAGCTTTGACTACCCTTTAAGTCAGACCCCCCCTTAACTCTCTTCTTGCCACCCTTGTCCCGGTACTCTACGACCATCTCCTTTGGAGCGTGTTCTTCAAGTTCATGAGGAAGGGGTTTGAACTCCGCAAGCTGCTCGATGTCTCTTCTGCCTGGGTTTGGCTTGTTGGGACTCCTCTGATTGTGTTGAAAGAGGGCTCCAAATTTGGAACGTTTTGCAACTCAACAGCTTTTGCAAGAATCTCTTCATTCAAAACAAACCCCTCTCAACGAAACCACCTAAGGAGGTCGAAGGCTTACCTGGACTTTGTTTCTAGTGGGCATGACAGGAAACCATAAAGAGAACTTGCAAATGACCTTCGAGGAACCACTGTACAGCCAAGTGGGTTTGTCGGTTGGTCCGCCATAGTGCTTCATCAAAATGTGATGTCTAAAGGTACGGACGTTGCGCATCAAAGCCTTGAAAGCTGGCAAATCCTGCATTAGGCTATTCTTGGGCTGCTCTAAGATCCACCAAGCTTGGAGGGCTGCAGCAATCCAAACCAAGACCAACGTTCTGCAGGCAATGTAATTGCCAGCTCTGACTGAAGGAAAATCAGGGTTGCCGGTTGGTGTCCCAGCCGTGCGGCCTGTAGAGCCCCTGCTCCTTAGATCGACTCGAGGGTGGCCCTGGAGATTTCACCAAGTCAGTTGACTGCAGGGCGTTCGCAAACAAACCAGGTACCTACTTAAACTTCTATGGACCTTTCGCCCAACCTGAGCCTCATCACCTCTAGAGAACAAAGGCACCAAAACGATCCTTCGATACAAACACCGGAAACTGTTGGACCATTTGAGAAGTTACTTTTAATCTATGTTTCCAAGCTTCATGAAGACAAAGGAACTACACACAGGAGCAGCTAGAAAGCCACTTCCTTTCCGGTGAAGCCTGCACACCTGGTAAAGATGCTGGAGGAAACCCTTGGTACTCAGGATGTCCATGGCCTCGTTGTGCTTTATGTCAAGCGCAATGCAGGATCTGCCTTCCTGTTTAGAACAAATGGTGGGAACTTTGAAGCCTCAGAGGGTGGCCTTGAAAGTGTTTTTGGTGGGGCACCCTTTACAAGCCTTTGGAGAGCCTAAAGACTACCTTTCAGGGTTTAAGTTTGTCCCTTCTACTCTATGGGTCCTTGAGTTCTCCAATGGTGACCGCTTGGTCACCAGCAAAGGCTTCCAAATGGTCCAGGGCTGTAGAGCTGCTAAATCTCAAATCCCGCTGCGCAAAAATGAGGGTCACGATGAAAGCTATCACCTCAGACGAATAGCGCCAACAAAACAGGAACAGTCCTAAGTAGTCCTGTAATCCTTTTATTACATTAGGGAACTGCTGGGAGAGTTATACTTTTGCGCTGAGATACAGCGGGCGCTTTCAAAGCTCGAAGACCACTCAGGATTGCGTTCCGTTGTTTGTCTCGATAGGTGGTAGCCTTCTTCTCTTTGAAGTCGGCCATCTGGTCAACACATGATTTTGCAAGGGCCCGAGTGGAGACGTAGCGGCGACCTTTCCCCATCCTCAATCAAACCCAGTGTATACCAAGAACCTGTGCTTGGGCCGAAGGAGGCTTCAATGAAACCACAGCCCTTGCCAAAAAGGTCCCCTGATTGCACTGCCACCACCGGACCACACACACATATATATATATATGCATATGTTTCTGAAGACATGCTTAGATATGTTTAGTTAAAGTTTCTTGACCTGTGTACTCACACAGGTCAGTGGCCCCAAGGATTCGGATCGGTGCGGTCTCGCCTCGGCATGCCACTGTTCTCCAGCCTGGCCAAGGCTGGGGCAAGGCAGAAGAATTTCTATTGTCGAGGAGGACTGGTAGCGCAGCGAATGGGGCAGGGATGGTAAATCAGGGAAAGGAATGGCAAACCACTCTGACTGGCAATTTTTTAGGCAGTGTCCAATCCCATCTATGGGGGCGCTCCATCACAACCTACCCCTCCAAGCGTGTCTGCACATTTGGCAACCCCAGTTGTTGAGGTGCCCCCTTGTAGAGATCTCTGGACAACAAGCCGCCTGGCTTGGAAATCTAAGTCAAAATGAAAAGAACTACAAATCCTTGCAGTCTGCCCCGCAAGTAGCTTGGTCCACTGCAATGCACCACGCGTGAGAGGGCCCGCCGGATTTCTTCCAGCTGACCTGGCCCTTTCGACCATACTCCGTTGGCTTCTTCACACAATAGGCTTGGTTCCTCAGCAACACATCGATGAGTACATTGCACTCGGTCCCCTTTGGGTCTATGACCACACGTTCCACGGTGTAGCTGTGCTGGCCCTTGTGAATCCTCCCAGCTTGAGGCCGGGCTTGATGGGGAATGTCCTTGAGGGAATACTTGCCATAGACCTGAGCAGGGCTCAAATATGGGACTCATCCACAAACCCTTTTTTACTAAACCTTTTTTTGGCCAGTGGGCCAACGTGTGAATTTTGAAGGGGATCAATGCCTAGCCTCTGGCGGCTCTTTGAAAGAGGACTCGCCGTCGGACTCCGCTTTCACCGCCTTGGCTTTGTGTGAGCCTCGCCGAAAGGAAGCCTTCGCCGCCTTCTTCGCCTTCTTGTTCTTGGGCTTCTTCGCTCGTGGCTTTCGCTCACTGACCTGTGAGGGGTTGGTGGGCGGGCAGGTTCTTTCATTTGTGGAGGGCGGGAACTATCAATGTTTTTTGAGGACACGTTTTTGTGGCCGGGATCAAGACCAGAAGTTGTTATAACTAGAACTATAGACTATTCTAATTGAGTGTGGGTCATGTGGCTTTGGACAGCTTGACGTGGCCTCTAAACCCACATATGGTGAAATAGAGTTCTCAAGGTGCTCATAAACAAAAGCCAGGCAATGCGGTGGTGGCAGGGCCAAAGACTTCTGATCTGTAAGGGATGTTGGCATTTTTGTTGAACCAGGAACCTTGACCGACAAAGCTTCCCGCAAAGTTTCCTTGGGTGAAGCAAATGGCAACTGAAGGTTGTGCTAAGTTGGAATTTTTTGAAGGGGATATTGGACAAGGGTTGATTGAATGGCTTGCTGGAAGCTCAAACCCCCACCCAACACAATCAAGCAGCACTCTTGCCGTGAAACATCCCCTTAAAAAACAGTGGGATTGAGGAGTTGCAGAAATGGTGGGATGCGGAAATGAGCAGTGCAATTGCGCTCATTCAGAAAAACGACGCCAATTGTTTATGATATCGCATTCAAACAAAAACTTTAAGATATCGCGTTCAATCAAACATATATTTTTAACATACATGAACATACACACCAAGTATTTGCATCTGATTGAACCCGTAAACACTCCAGTCCTCGTCCCTGCCAGAATCATCGTCCACCTGCGATTCAGCAACCACGTCCCAGCAACTGCGCTTGCGCTGTAGCTTTACTGAGTCAATGGCCGGCTGGTATCACGATCCTCCTTGGCCTCTTCATCAGAGCTCCCAAGACCAGGCAGCATGAGTGTGGCCTCGGAGTCAACGTCTGAGGCCTGCGATGAAGCCTCCTCATCATTCTGGTTCTCATCAGGCACGTCAGTGCTTGACCCCAAGCTCACTCGCTTCATCTTGACATCACTGGCTCCACTCTCCTCCATGTGCTCGTTCTCACTGGTCGCTTTCGTGTCATCATTGTCGATGGCATCATCGCTGTCATCGTTGGCGCCATCGGAGTTTTCCTCATCGGAGTCGCAAGGGCTGCCTTGAAACTCTTCAAACTCCGCTGCACTAGAACCAGCAGCATCTTCCGCTTCCTGCGCCGCAAACTTAAGGAGATCAGCTACAAACAGCTAACCATCGCCACAAACCAGGTTTCTCAGAAGTCGCTCACAAAGCAAACGCATCTTCCAGAAAGGTTCTTTAGAGCTTCAATGCAACTTGGTGAACCTAGGTTTGACACTCTGCCGCCTGGCCTCCTCTGTTGACGACTCACTTGCGGCATTGGCACGGCGAGCCTGGGAAAGAAGGCAAGCTTGATTTCTAAACCAGAAACTATTGAACGTCGCATTCATTGGTCGAAACCATGAGCCAACCCAAGA